TTCCAAAAACATGGAATGATCCCGTTATTAATTGGTAAGAGATATCACAAAATATATTTCATACTGATATGCCAAATATAAAAAGTGTTACAATTTTTTAAATAATTCTTGAATTTCTAATAAAATATGTTTTCTTTGAATTTTTCAGAATTAATCAGCAATACAGTGTACCTAAATAAGCTCACGATGAGGAGGCAACGAATCTTAACGTTGCTGCTGATCGCCCTAGAAGGTCTTGTAAAAAAACAAACGTCTGTTCAGCAGCTGTGCGAAGAACGAAGCATTGAGCTCGTCTTAGAGATCTTCGCAAAGTGCTTGTACAAAAAAGACGAGGACTTCCAAGTGGATCAGCGGTAACGTTCGCCGTGGCAAATATGATTTACAATTTTACATAAATATTGCTTCTACGTTATAGTAATTTTTTATATCAATTAACTAACTTGTTAAACTAATTAACAAGTTATATAAACACTTACCAACAATTATAAATATTGAAAATATTAAAATGTAAAAACTTTACATATTGAAAGGAAAAATAGAAGTAGAAACATTATTGATTTCTTATTATTTGTTTACAGACTTCTGTTAGCAATAGGCGCTTACATTTGGAAATGCGTGGTGCCATGTTCTGGGAGTCTCCAGATTTTCTTGAGAAACGGCGGACTGTACTCCATGCTGGATATTGTCGAGATCGTGAGCTATCCCGTGAAATGTTTGTATCTCGGTGCGCTGACCGATATGTGCGACAGGACCTTTTGCGGGCCGTGTCTCTGCACCTGGAGAGGCGCCGATAAGAAGACAGGTTTGATATCCTTGCTCGCGACTGTCTGGCGAGAAGAGGAAGACAGGATCGGTATCAAGAGACGCGCCGACGATTCCATAGCAGGTGCACATCTCGCGAATCAGAATGTCGAGCTCCGTACGGAGATTTTTCCTCACGGAAAATCTACTTTAATTTACTATTTATTGAATTTTGTAATATTTTATGAAAATTATTGAAAGATTCTAGACGCAAAAAATATATCCAGAGATTTTCTCGATTACTTATGTATAAATTAAGGAGAAATCTTAACAGAGAAAAGTTAAATGAAATTATTTTGTAATTTCGCAGTCGCGATTAACTTTTTGTTTGCAATTTCAGATCCTGAATTTCCTCAGATGGGCACTAAGCAGTGGACAGACACCTATCATTCGCAGCTTACGGAAGACGTTAGTCCCACTATAATCGACATGATCGGTTCGGCGCGATCGAAAATCTTCAGTATTTTGAAAATCATCGAGAGAGACGGCGACAAATACAAAACCGCCAGAGAGCATTACAAGATTCTACTCGAAAAACTACCAACAAAAGATCACGTAAGACTTCTTATTTCTAAACCAGTAATGATATAAAAAAGACTAATAGAAATATAAAATAGCATACGAATTTCTAATGTCGAATGTTTGAACATAGTGTGTAATATTAAATTTTTTTTATACAATATTAAAACAATCAGTTATCTCTGAACCTTTTTTCAGATAACGCTGTGCTGCATCGACATGTATCTACGACTGAAACTCGGTCAGATGTGGACGGAGCTCAGTAGATACCTGGAGCAGACCGGCGTCACCCCGCTGAGCGTGGACGCACACCTGATCGCCCACATGGTGCAGTGGCACCGTTCGTGGGGCTTCCTAATCGAGGGCCGCCAGAAGAAGCTGACCGCAACGGTCAGGCGCGCGGATGAGATCTCGGAGAGGGACGAGCTCGCGAGGAT